TTACTATTTGAGCTCCTGCCCTATCTCTTCTTCTCCGTGAGAGACATGCTGATGGTGCAACTGCTTTCGAGGCGGACTGGATGACGACAGGTGAAGCTGTGTGCGCGGCGTTTGAAAGAAGTCGCCCGAGGGGTATTCACATATTTTTCCCCGTTTTGAAGTTTGGTGATTTACAACAGTTTTGCATGCTTTTGCCGCGCGCGCGCTCGCAGCAGACACACTGTGTGCGCGCTCGCGCGATTCCCCGCCGATACGTAAGGCTATCTAAACCAACCAGAGTGCGGCTCGTTAAAAAGTCCCCCGCCCGTCGCTGTAAATGAAGCGGTGAGTGAAAGTCCTCCCCCAGCGTCCACCGGCCCAGGTCCACCCACGCAATAATTAATTCACCGTCCGTTCCGCGTTTCTTTGCTGAACTCAGGGGTCTGGACTGGACTGGGGCACTCTTAGTGATAAGGTGGCGTGTCTGGCGTGGCGAGCGGGCCGGTCACGGAAGGCTGCATGGCGGTGTAGTGGGTGGTGCCGCGCTGGGCCACGTCTAGGAAGCACCTCGGGGCTACCACCACCGCCGCCGCTAGAGCTCACCGTCAGGCTGCGCGCGCGCGCGCGCCCGGGCCCCACCGCCGCCGCGGGCGTTTGATGGCCGCTCAGGCAGAACGTCAGGCGATTCCCCGCGCCGTCTCTGCGTTTGGCGCGTTATTTCGAACAACCTGCTGTGCTGCCCTGCAGCAGCAAAGGGGAAGAGTGAAAGTTTTACTGATTTTCTTATTTCCCGAATAACTGGGCCCTTTAACGTACAGACCAATACGTTGACGAGAGTTTTAAAAAATTGAATAAAATATAGATTTGTAAAACTTTCTTATCTGATCCTCATAGACCAGACGAGTGAGTGTTTCACATGGCATAAAGTTCTGTGTCTTCCGCATAGCAGCGGTATGGCATGGCATTGCCAACCTCACCGCGGCCACTGCGGCCCACCCGCCACGTGGTCGCTGTCAGCGCTGCTTGCCCGCGGGGGTGCGAGAGAGACGGGGGCACTCGGGCGTTAAAGGAGCTGCTGTCTCTCTCTCTCGCACAGGTGCACCGCGCTGTGTCGCTTGCAGGGTCCCCCTACAGCCACAGCAGTCGCTGACCGCGCGAGATGCAGTCCCGGAAACACGTGTTGATGCCTGCTTCAGATGTCAGGCCGTCACACCGTTTGGCGCGGAGGGGGGTGGTTGCGCGCTGGGTGGAGCAGGGAACGCCCCACCCC